GCCCAGGCACATAGAGGAGATGGGTGAAAATGATAAGAGAAATTTGTTTTTATTGTATAATTTAGAATTTTAAAAAAATATAAAGAAAAAAAAAAGGAAGAGAAGAAGAATATGAGATTCTTATGGTAAACATATCTCTTGGTGGGTGTTGGAATGGTTAGGGTGTTTCAGTTTTTTCTTATATGGACTACAAAATTATGTACAACCACTCAAGCATAGCACAAGTAAATCAACCATCAATTATATAATCTAATAGCAAAATCGTATATACTTTTATCATAAATTTAGAATTTAACTTTTGATTTTTATGTATTAAAAAAATATACAAAAGTTACCAAAAACTTGAAAGAAACATTGCATACACGGCACACTTTTACTGAGCTCCGACATCAATATTATAAGTACCAATTAACCTCAAACCTTATTGATTTTTAAATTTGAATCATGGGACCACTGAGAAAAAATGTAATAAATAAAGAAACAGATCCACCCTGTTGTAGAATCTTTTCATCGTCTGAGAGAAAAAAATGTTAAAAGGCGCTCATAATTCATCTTCTTTTGGATTGGATCCTAATAACCAATTGTTTTTAGTGGGGCTAAATTGGGCTTTCAACTACAAGCTGTTTTCAGTGGGCTTGTTCTGAGTGATATATGGCTGGGAGGATCCAATTAGAGAAGTTGAGCTGAATTTGATTGAACCAATAACAATGACATTTTCAATGGCCCAAAATTTCTTGTTTCGAACTTGTGTAATTGTTGGAGAGGGGGAGAACTGGAGAAGGGACATAAATTGAGCTCAACTACTTCTCTCTAGAAGCCCTTCTTGTGTAATCAAGCACAAAGCCTGAATGGATGCCCAATATTTTCTTCTGTCTCTATTCTCTGGCCCCTTTGGTTGGTCCAAGAAGGCTAACCATTGCTTGGGCCTGAGTTCTAAAAGCACAATATTTGGACTTCAGTATTCAAATCCCTTTATGCAGCTCCAACATTCTTTTCTTTTAAAGTTAGTTAGACAGGAGAAGAAAGGCTGGAAAGAAGTCGAATATGCCGAGACATATTATAAAAAATAAATACTTGTTGATTCTTCTCATTTTTTTTTAATAATTAAAATATTCTTAACTTAATTTGTACACATATCAAAATTAATTCTTTTTTAATTCAATTATGACATAATAATTTTAAAAAAATTACATTATTATTAACTCAATGAACTTACTTACCAATTACACATCATTCCCTATATTA